GGGGTCAGCAAGGCGGCACGTTGGGACCCCAAATCCCACCATGCTCACCTGGTGAGTACAGCGGGCACACTCCATCCCTAGCAAGGCTTACTACCCAAGAGTCTACTCCAGCTTCTTTACAAAGTGGCCTTACCTTCCTCAGCAAGACCTCTCATACAAGCCTCACCTACCTTTAGGGGTTGCAGCCCCCTTAACATCTGTTTCCGATCCCCTAGGGGGTACATTGGCATCCGGAATAAAGGAGAAAATTGTCCAAAGAGAATTCATAGAGCTATATTTACTTCTTGACCGCCATGTTCCAACCTCCCCGAACCCGAACCTTGCACTGGAAGAAATAAAGAAATGCATCGAATCTCATCATAATCTTATGGATAGATGCCTTCCTGGTGTTCACATCCGTAATCTTGGGCGAACATCCTCAGAGAACACAGGAGCTTTTAAAGTACATGCACACAGTGAGAATGGCAGCTGCACGGTTTGGGGGCTGGGGATGGTTGGAATATAACTGTCAGTTTAGATTGTGCCAACAATATCATCCTAGTAGATCTTGTTCGGTCATCGATGGTGAGCTATGGGCGTTTCAATTGTACGTAGCAGCTCCGAGTTTTCCATATATGCACTCCAATGCGTGGGGTCAGTAGCACTGCGAAGCCCGGACCCTCTCGCACCCACAGGGCTCTTCTTTGCCTTCGACAGGGATGGGTGCCCCAGAGCCCAATGCAAATACATTCACAAATGTTCCCCATGCAAAGTGTTTTGGCACAGCCTCCTGCAAATAAATCAGCGCAAAACAAGCAGCATGGCGGTGGGCGCTAAGCAAGGCCACGATGGCCCTTCAGCCCCAAATGGGAACGTTGCATGCTCTGCAGGGGCCCAATGCTTGTGTTGTCTTGCACATTAACACATTATCGTAACAGCGCTGCTCCCACTACTAGACATACATCCGGACATTAAGGCAGCTTACATGTTGCGCAGTGAATTTTCATTCGGTTTTAGGCTGGGGTTCACTGGGTCGCGCATAGCACGGGATGCCCCAAACTTCTTGTCTGTTCGCCCAAACCCATATAGATGAAGAAAGAAAAACAGATTAAAGGTTAGATATCCATCTGTAACGATGAAAATCAAATAACTGTTCAGTGTCCATCATACTCAAATCAGTGGAAAAACACTGGAGAGCACAAGATTAAGGAATATCGCGAGGTTGCAAGGTTCGTCAACCTATAGTAGTCTATCGAACGCGAAGCCCGTGTATGGGGCGGGGCGCTTAGAAGAAATCTTGCAGTCTCGCTGGCCTCCGTCTCGTCTGGGTACTTTTCCTCTCTGGGAAGGTCGAAGTTAGTGGATGTGAGGGCGCTGCTGTCGGTTCAGACGAAACATGGCCTGATGAGTGAAAGTCAGTGTTCTTAGCATGTGTGGGAAGGGCGGCATCTTCCTTGGAAAGAGTGCTCCTCCCAAGCAGGGTCTTTCGAAGGTCCATCATCCATTTAGGTACTTCATCACTGAAATACTGCTTAAGCCGGTCATGGTGAAGAATTTTTGTTTTTCCTCCCTGTTTGTACTCGATCTCAAACAGAGGATCATTTAATGTTCGGAGGATGATGCAGGGGCCAAGCCATTTCGCGGGTTTTACCTTGGTAGACAACCCACGGGTTTTTGTGCTATCTCTCATAAAACCAAGTCACCAACGATCGTTCTTGTATATTTGTGTTGTAGTCTGTTTTTTTTATTCCGATGTTTCTAAGCTCCAGGTACTTGGATCCCTGGGTTTGTGTACAATCACCTTGGCTATGTAAACTAAATTCCACACCCTGCGTAATTACCATACCCTTTCACTGCTTATTGTAGCGCCTGGCACAGCTATACAATGGACTGCCTAACAAGCAACCTCGGTACACGTAACTGATCAATGCAGCGTGTGCTGCAAATCAATTGGTAAGTCTGACCGGCACATTATTGTGGAACATATAAAAACTGCTTTCCTGACATATTACCATTTAACCATCTTTCACCTCAAGACTTTGATCTATTAATTTTTAAATTTAAAACTAACACTAAAGTGGATACTGACCGTCTAAAAAATCTAAAATTTAACCCATTTACGTCCAATGAAGAAGTTGCTGGCAATATTGATCTCAATCCAAACATAAATTACTACGCAAACCAAATACAGAACCTCGGACTATCTTTTGCTGGACCAATTTGTCGAAAAATACAATTTAATTAATAGTCGAAAAAACACTTTTTCGTGTTTTCACCAAAATATTCGAAGCCCAAGCAAAAATATTGATAAAGTAACCGATTTTATAAGCATACTTAACTTTCAATTCAAAGTGATTGGTTTCAGTGAAACTTGGTTAACTGATCATAGTTCTGATATGTACATAAATGATTATTCATGCGTAAAGGAAAACAGACAAAACAGGTGAGGTGGTGGTGTTTACTATATGGGCATACTTCCATCAATTTTTCTCGCCGTAATGACTTATCATTGAATTGCGCTTAATGTGAGTCATTGTTTCTTGAAAAACCTTGTAATGAAAGTAAAAACATCATTGTTGGAATAATTTATAAACTGCTTCAATTTAAAAATAATGAATTTATTGATCACCTTGACCCCATCTTAGCCAGTATAAACCAAGAAAATAAAATTGCCTTCATTATGGGCGATTATAATATTGACTTAAATTATAAAGATCATAATCCAACTCGGAATTTCATTAACTCTATTTTTAGCCACTCTTATTTACCATTGATAAACAGACCAACTCGCATAACGCCTACAACTGCTACTTTAATAGACAATATTATATCCAGTAGTACTGGGTTTATCCGAGGGTTTACTGAGAGTGGTATTCTGTACAGTGACATTTCAGACCATTTACCGATCTATAAGATATCTTCTTTTTATACCAGTACTAACGCATGCAATAATAATACGCACTCGTATAGACATTTATAGCAGCTGGTAGACTGGAAAAAATTAGAATCAAGTTGAATAATGCAAACTGGAACATTGCATGTACGGATGATCCTAGTCTTGATAATTTTCACTTTGAATTTTTAAAAATATTTAAGAATAGCTTTCCGCTAAAGAAAATGAAGGTTTTGGTTTTTGGTTGGCGAAGGCTATGTTTGGTTATATCTTTCCTCACACACCATAGTTGAGCCCTGCATCATTCCCTTCATTTTTCAACTATGAAAATCTCGCAGAAATTTCCAAGCTAAAAAGCATTTATAGTACATGTAAAGTAATTCTTTCACTTCTTCGACACAAGAATAGTCTAGACTCTTTAAACTGTCAGTTAAGAAGACCTGTAGGTCTGTCTTTTGTTTTCAAATAACTGAAATTCATAGACAACTATTTTTTTTCCAACGGACACAAGAAGTTGGATGCAGCTTTGGTTGGTTAAAATGAAGTCAACAGGTCAAAATAATATGAAAGAATTAAACAGAAAAGTATAAATCATATCAATTTTTTAANTACGGGGCAGTGATGGAAGTCTGGTGGTGTTTAAAAATCCTGCACATTGTACATTTCATCTGTGACATCGAATATATTTCAACCATGAAACCACGACATTTTCTCAAGAGAATCATTGATATCAAGTGTGTACTTCGGTTGGAACTTTGTAAAGTGGATCCCGAGCTGGGCGCACCCAGCTCACCTCCTTTACTTTGGAAAGATGTGTCTTCCTTTCTTCAGATATTGCCGCTAAAATATGTCCCATCCATACTATCAGGGAATACCTCCACCCCCCTGTAAATGTTGAATTTCCATTCACACCCAGTGCCCTTTAACTCAACATGCTACGTGTACGTACATTCGCAAGGATATTCAAAGTTGAGAATTACATAGCTTTCGCTCATTAGCTTGAATTACACAGCATGGTTAATCATTTCAAGCAGACGAAAAACGGTCGTGATAAAAATGCTCAAATAAGAATAACACATTCTTATTTTTCCTGTGAAGTGTAAGTACCTAATATAATCATCCTTCAATCTATTAACATTACATGCATTTTACAAAAACTAGGGTTTAAATGCCATTAAAACGAATTGTAATTTTTTTCTTTCAAACATAAGTACTTAACATGCCAGAGTAACTCTACGAAGAGAACAAATGATACTTTTACCACCCGAGGCCTTGATGCTCAATTTCCGAACAGTAATACAAGTCATCATCGCACATGTTGAGAGTTATGTGATATCTGCAAGCACATCTGGAAATTGGTGACGTTGCACTTACACTTGGAGCAATCGTATCAATGCAAATTTCTTGGGAAGCCAATTTGAAAAATACATACAGCCAAAATATCTCATCATTTGTAACAATATTAATTAAATGGTGCAAATAACTTTAATACCCCAGATATTGAAAATACCTGTAGTTCATCATTTATTCGAGGATGATTCTCTTGATATTGAGCATTTCCAGATGCAGGAATGTTGCCTCAAGCCCAATATGCATGTGATTCATCGTAGATGTCGTCTTGTAGCCATGCGCGCTGCAATTTTTGTTTCACTTTTTCCAGTTCACGTTCATAAGCCTTCCTCTCCCGAATATTTTCTTCATTCTATGTAAAGAAAAGGTATAAATGTCTATACATGGCAGCACTATTTTGTTTGACATTTACCGTTTTAGCCAGGGTGCAGCCTTCCCCAACTTTTTTTTTAATCATCGCTGTGTATTTCTCTTTAACCTCATATTTCCGCAAAGTCTTAAAAATGTGTAAGCTTTTGAAATGCTCTTCTTGTGAAATGCCTTTATTTCCAAATATCGCCGAGAATGTGAACTCATCCCACTGTCAAGTGCTAAACGCATGCAGGCCAGTGCTTTTTTATGTGCATGGCTAAGTGAGGATGATGGCAAAACATGGGCGTAGATCGGGGGGGGGTATATCCCTCACACACGTTTTGATGGGGTGGGCTATTGAATCACCCCCTCCGCACTTGTTTTTGGTGAGCAAACAATTAAAGTTGATCAGACTTCCAAGGACTAAAATAAATTTAATATCACTCAAGAAAGGGAAAACAAAATGCACGAATATGCTTTTTGGAATACATATCATGAACATCGACCTCTATATAGTTATGTTGTGTCCCCCCGCCTTCCAAATTTTCATGTCATCCCCCCACCTTTCCTCATCCCCTATCCCCCCCCCAATTTTCGACACAAATTGACTTCACTCTGGCAAAATGTTTGACATGTTACTTCTTGAATACTAAATTGTTGACAAGTGATTTTCTGCACAGTCTGTTTTCAGTCAACACTTTCCTGATACTGGATGAAAAACAGATGATTCATTTTGAAGTAAATTCATTAAATTGTAATTTACCTTGCCCTGTTTCTTCGATTCGCCCTCTTGTTCGGATGTACATTTTAGTTCTTTGATCTTCTTGTTCAGAATTTCTCGTTTCTCCTGAAGCTTGCCGATGCCTGATATGTTATCGGGCGGTGAGACTTTAGATTTTACTGATGATAAGATGAGGTCTGGGTAAGCCTTGTGAAAGGAGGGTTGCACTGCGTGTTCGTTACGAAACTCTTTGTCAGTTAAGGTCACATCATATGCCACCGGTCCATTCCAACTGAATCCGAGGTAGAATGTGACTGATTCTTGACTTGGAGGTTTTTCGTATGGAACAGCTAATTTGATCTCAATGGGATCCTTGTCTTTGTGGAAGCAATGTAACAGGGTAGTCGCATTCAGGAGAGTTCCTTCCAACCGAACCAACCGTTGTTTTACGAGATCAGACTGCCAAAACACATCGTCGCTAGCATCTCGCCTGTCAAGTTTACGCTCTGTCGCATGAAGTTCGGTAATGTGAGCAAAGACGCGAAGATCTTCGCCTTGGCCAAGGAAAAAATGCGTACGCGGTCTCATTGGAGATCTGGTTTGCCGTCTTACTCTTTCATGATTTTGCGGTATCCGCTTCTCTTTAGAATAGCGATCAATGCTCCATCTGTCTTTCAGTTCCATTATATGTTCTGTTAAATCATATCTGTCTCTTCTTTCTGACACTACACCTTCGATTGGCCACAGAAACATCATCAATAAGAATGAGGGCCAACAACTTTCAGCTTTAGGGCTATCCATCGCGTAAAACGGGCGAACAAACTGCTTGTACACGTAGTTTGCCGACACAGACTGATCTCCAATCGACGAGAGGGCTAAGTATATGAAAATGATATTTCTCAAGTCGAACGAATTGTAATCGCGATAATTCTGCAATAGCAGTTCACGACACCCCTCAAGCCTTCGCCGGTTTTTGGCTTTTGCATGATCGAAGATTTCCCGAAAACTGCCGCAGTGTTGTTGCTCAACGAGTCTACGCCGATGCTCAGCAAGACTGGAGGGATCTTTATCACTGTACCTGCTTTTATGTACTGGCTGTGGCTCGCCATAATACCTGTCGTATATTACGGAGTATTTTTTCATGTTCTCTCTCATCTCGTCCAATTTCTGACCAGCGACATTTGCCGTTGAACCATCCTTGTAATATGTCGTTTTGTTGTCCATTATTTCAAACACTTCATCCACTCTATTTTTCAATTGTCTAACCTGACACTGGCTCTCATTATCCCAGGATGGATGACGAACGCCTGGCGGTATTTCCAACCTGAGAAGGTACATCCCGAGAACATTGACATCGCCTTGTGTTCTGAAGGGTTCTACGCACAGGAGGATAACTTGTAGGAGACGGAATATAACGTTGAGTTCGGCATACAGTCCAGTGTATTCAATTCGCGTTGAGACTGCCTCCTTTGAGACTTCATAAGACTTGCGAAATGTTCTCATGGCTTCGAGGGACAGGGACAAGATATCATTCCATACTTCCTCTCCAAGGACTTGTTTGTCAATAACGTATGGTTCGGTAAGCGTGTCGAAATGTGCTTTGTAAACCCGACCTTTTGTATCCCAGAAATAAGAGTTTTTGTGATTGATTTCCAAAGCCACTTCGGCAAAGGAGAGAGCCATGTCAAAATTCTTCTCTTTTATTAGGTAGAATCTTGCAAGCTGCTGTGCTACAAACGCATCTTTCAGGTTTTCGACGCCCTTCCTCAGTATTTCAATGGCCTTGTCCGACCCTTGTGTCTTGCATACATCTTCAATAAGAACTGAAAAGCCTGTCTTTGTTTCCTCCCCGTCCCCTACGCGCTCTCTCCTGATAAGCAGGTTGTGCGTTGTTTTGGCCAGAATCTTTCTGCTGTAAGAATGTGAGCGAAGTAGCTCACTGTCCAAAAACTCCAGCGTTACATCTGCCAGCGACTGGTCCCCGCTTTCAAGCATAGTTTGCTTTAAGGCCTCCTCGGCTATGCTCTTGTGCAACATCCTGATAGTTCGATTTTCTGTCATGACCACCATTATCTTAAACGAAGCCGAAACCAGCTTCTCCCAATTTAAAATATTTCTGGTGAAGAGTATCCTTTTCCCTTTAAGACATATACTGTCCATAAATGTGTCACAACAAGAGATGGGAATGTCAGCCTCGTGAATGTAAGAGTTCAGAAGGGAACACATTTTAATCAGCTTCCTTTCGTTTCCCTTGATATCTTGAAGTATCCTTAAAACGACACCTTTTATATAAACCTTGTTGAATTCCTCCTTCATCACCATGAAGGCAAGAAGGTTGTCTGGAATGTAGTCGCCTGTTTTGTTCTCTTTCTCTTTGTGTTCCAGTTCAAGATACTTCTGCTGAAACCATTCCTTTTCGGTTGGGTTAAGCTTTTGCGTCAAGGGAACATAAAGGTCGTTGTTTTTACCTTTAGCTTTTAGCATTTTATGTGGATCAACATTACGTTTGCAATGAAGCAGGACGCACACTGTTCCACCACTGACATGCATAAATTTTGATTTCTCTTCCAGATCCTCAATCAAATCCAGCACTTCGACGTCATCAAGATTGTCAACAAGAACACAAACTGGGGGGATTTTCTTTGAATATCCCTTCTCATAACCGCACTGTCTCACCTCCAGTATCTGGTTAACCGTGTTATTGGTAACTCTATTGACTACCACGCATCGGTGATGTTTGTGGAGTTCCCACAACACGTGGCGAGCTAAAGTACTACCACCAGCGCCAGGTTGATGCAGAAGTGTTACTGTGACAATCAAGCTTTCCTCCATCCTTGAGCTATTTAGCGGTTTGCTGACTTTCCTGAGGAGCTCTCCAAAACCTCTCCTTTTCAAAACCTGACCACACCCACGGCGGAGTTTTTCCTCTTTCTCGCCGATAGCAAAATTCCACCAATCAACCTTTTCACCCCGGTAAAATTCCAACTCCTTCCTTTTCACAAATTGCTCATAGCTTGGGCTTGTGTCGTCCATATCGGTGTTTTCGCATTCATTCTTGCAAACAACTGTGATGTCATTCCATTCGTCTTTTTGCTTCACTGAAAGAAAACATTTGCCTGGCGAATTGAAAGGAAGTTCACTCTTGTCGGTCTGATTTACGCCATTCATTCGCATCAAGATGCGGTTTACCTCTTGCCACTGAACTCCAACTACGCTTCTTTTGACGATTTCGTCTTCAGAGGGAAGCCACCTTTTGATATAACTCACGAACTTGAAGTAAAGCTCTTGGTCCTGGGAAATGCAAACGATGTTCTGTAGACCTTTGAAAGAAGATGATACTTTACCAAAGGTATCGCAGAGGATGTCCAAATCATCATCAGATAAGAGCAAGAAGACAATTACAGCGCGCCCCTCTGGTATCACTGATGGTTGGGAGAAGAATGTCACTGACGCTTCTACATCTTTACGTCGTTCTTTGTGCCAATCAGGCAGGGTCATTTTAGGTGCTTGAATATTCAGGTCGTCTTCACGGCCATTTGCAAAAACCCAGACCGTTTTCTCGGGAAATTCGATACTATTCCGGAACTCTTCCTCAGACTCGATGTGTTTGAATAGATCCGGCTGCTGCAGCGAAACCATCCGATCATCATGATACAACTTACAGAGTCCATCCAGTTTAGATCTCGAATCAAAGTCCCAAACGGTTACCCATCTAATTGCCTTAATGAATCCAAATTGACTTTCGACTGTGTTGAGTTCATCCTTGGCAGGCAGTGAAGGTCTGTTGGCAATGAGGACTGGAAAATAAGACTGATCGAGTTCGCCATGCTTGTCACCCGTCAGTAACACACGTAGTCTGGCCTCGTTGGTTTGCTCACCTGCAGACATCTGACGCATTATCGCCGTATGGTCGTCACCTGTTGGCGCTTCTTTCGTGTATGTTTCCGTTACTGGTGATTTTATTCGATGATGTTCTTCACCGACAAACTGTGACAGTGGTCCTTGTTGACTGGAAGTATCGCAATGATAATCTGGTACATCAGGCTCAGGTATGCTTTCTTTTTCAGTTAACTTGAGTCCGTGGTCTCTCTGCACTTCGTCATGTTTTGTGGCTTCTGGGCATTGTTCTGGACTCAGCACTATCTGTGTCATTTCTTTTTTTGGACTTGACGCGACACGAGCCTTTTGTGTTTTGGGACGAACTGCAGGTTGGGAACTTGGATCAGCATGATATACTGCAGAGTGGTTAGTTTCGCATGTCAACCGTAAAGGCGGTACTTGGTTATCCTCGGGACTATGTTGACTCTTTTGGAGCCAATAGTGCTCTGTTTCTTGAATCCCTTCTTGTTGTCTTCTTGCCTGTTGCTTTTCAGCTTTCAACCATTCTTCTCTGCTGTACAAAATAAGGCGCAGGTCGCGTTTGGTCATCTTACTGTAGTCGTCATACAAGTCCTCGTTTGTGTACATTTCCAATACTTTTCCGTCTATACTCCCTTCATGAAAATCGACAGCAAGGGTACAAGACACCCCGATATCAAACAGCCATTGTTTTACGTAGTCAGGAGTCCACTCTGACATGCGCATTGGTAGCGTTCCTTGGAGAGGATCTAAAATGAAAATAACAATGCTAACTTTTAGAACAGTTGAGGCCTATCAAATGTTTTATCAAATGTTCCCAATGATTTATCGTTCCATCCAATCCGATTTAATCTGGTCAAGCATGGTCTAATCTGGTCCCGCTTTGTCCTATTTAGTACAGAATTAGCTATAATGCTTGCAAAATTTCAATTTGTAATATTATAAGCAATCAGCAGTTTCTCGTATCTCCGTACTGAAAATAATCATACAAGAAAAGTCATAAGCGAACGTTTTGTAGTACGCGACATAGTTAAAGAACAAATTATTTATCCAAGTAAAACGATTGCGGTTACACCATGGATAAATCTCTTTCTTGAGTGTGTGGTTCTGGTTCCAGTAAAATGGACGTAGTTGTTATGTATCACTTAAATGTTCATTGTTAGGCATTAGACCATTAAGTCATGGTAATTCACTACACTGTACTATAAAACACGGAAAAAGATAAAACATTTTATCAGACTTTGGGAAATTAATATACATTTCTCAGTTGTTTAATTGTCTGTATTATCAAACTGCTGCTTTTTCATAAAAGGTATTTCATTAATTATATCAACTGTCCTTACAAAATTCTCTTAATTCTTAAATCCCCTCCTCCCATTTTTTGTCAGTGAGCAACACAAATATTGAGGTAAAAATTCATGTTTTAGCAGCGAAAATGGAGAACAGACGATACACAAACTCTCAAGGTACCTTTAATGCATGTTTAAGGCACGAAGGCTTGCAGAGTAAACTTTGCACAGAGAAAGTTGTCTTCCAAATGATGAAAACAGAGAATGTATAGAAGAGAAATAGGAAATCAGGAATCATCCTGTTCACCTTATGAACATCTTTCGTTTTGTCTGCCGTGCAGCGTAGTTTTTTAAGCCATACTTAACCATCGTATTACAACAAATACAAGATATTGCACAGATACATATCTATTAATAATGAATTTGGCCCTAAACGACTAAGCACCACTGACTTCACCTGTATTTCACGAAATCAAACCTATGCTCAGATTGACCATGCTGTCCTGAGTGCATGTATAGAGAATGTCCGTACAAAATATTTTGATACAGTAAACAAATCAAAAACCCCTAAAGCAGTCATCCGTGCTTCTATAAGCTTAATTCCAAAACTCTTCCACACGAAAATAGCTATAAAATCCTCACTTTATTACCTTTTTCTAACGTTTCGAAGAACCTGCACCCTTTTTCGTAGTCGCTTTCCAAAATCGTCAGTTGTATTTCGATTCCACTTTTGTCGCCGGTGGTCAGTTCATCCGTGACGAGCACCTCACTGAATTTTTGAGCCAGTTCCCCGGATGTGTACGCGGCCCACAGGCTGTCAAGGCCCTTGCGACTTTTGACGAGCAGGATGAATTTCAGCGATCCCATCGTCACGCGAGAAATCACTGTGCCGTCAAACTGCCTCATGATATTTTGAAGTATGTCATTGATGGCACTGTTTCCTTGTCTTCCCTCAGGGTCGTACACCCTTTCATATGATCTGCTGGTCAAAGCGTCGTCCGTCTGCCCGTCATTTGAGACGACCCCTGTCATGAGTAGAACTGTTCAACAAAATTATAACGGTGAAAATTAATCAACTTGTCAGTTTAAGAAACCTTGCAAGGAAGGCTAAGTTTTTACTTTTAATACAACAAAAGGTTATCGTATAAAGACAAAACTTGTATCTACATCTCAGCGAAAGTTCGAGAAGAGATTTACATATATTGACTGATTATCGCAGTCTAAAAAGCGTGTTTAGCTTTTGCACACAATTTTGTTATCACTTTGCAAACATGTTTGGATGCTAAACATTTACTGCTCAAGTCCTAAAGATCAATGTCCAGTGGCCAAATACAATCAGTTAAAAATCTTACGGTGTTTAGCATTTAAACATGTTCATAAACTGATAACAAAAAATGTTTAGAAAAGTGTTTACTGGCTAAACACACTTTTTGCAGTATACTGTCGTCTTTCAAGAAATTACCTGGTTTCCCGATACATCTGGATTTTTCTAATGAACCGGGATCCATCGTCAAACCTGCCAATTGCTCTTAGACAGCGTTCAACACTTAAATACTATATTTACGGAAACATACCGTAAGTATCCCCAGTCACATTGACCTTGTTTTTGTCGCCGTCTATGTGAATTCCTGTACTTCTTCTGTCAAATTGATATTCCTCTGTTCTAATCTCTTCTTGTTGTCTTCTTAACGGACTTCGCTGTTCCTTTTCAGCTTTCAACCATTCTTCTCTGCTGTACAAAATAAGGCGCATGTCGCGTTTGGTCATCTTGCTGTAGTCGTCAAACAAGTCCTCTTTTGTGTACATTTTCAATACTTTTCCGTCGATACTCCCCTCATGAAGTTCGTCAGCAACGGAACGAGACACTCCGGTATTAAGCAACCATTGTTTCACGTTGTCCGAAGTCCACTCTGACATGCACACTGGTAACCCTTGTTGGGAAGGATTTAAAATGAAAAAAATGGGAATAACAGTTATTTTAGTGCTGCCTTTTGAACTGGTTTAGACCTACCAAAGGTTTGGCCTAATGTTCCACATAATTTAATGCATGGTTTTATCCAATCGAATCTGGTCCGGTTTGGTTTAATTAATCTGTTTCCTATTTATCCTATTTTTAACAGAGCTCTCTTTTATGCACTCGAATTTTCAATTTGTGACCTCATTTTATCAGTAGTTATTTCAAAATTTAAGAGGACCAACAGAAATCAAGAGAAAACAATAGTCTCGAACTAGCTAACCGTGGAGATATTTTGAGGTCATCAACGTATTCTTTAGGTAAACACTGCAATACGTATCAAGGGCTTGCACGATGCATTTTTCACGTAATATCCAAATCCTGTACATTACTTAATCCTGATACATAACAGGCGTCGACTTCTGTGACTGTTCAGTGCCAGTTACGTTGATAGGTTTAAACTATATTGATTCAAACACCACCTTCCGCTTCGCATCATGTTTCGGTCGCAAAAAAATAAGGTTTAAACCGCTCAATCATTCCCGTATTTGATATTTACATACCAGGAACATTATCACTGATACTGGTTTGATCTCCCTCTACTTTGACGATATTTTTGTTGCCTTCGATGTTGATTGTTGTACCTCCTCCGCCAGGCGCATAGGATTGCTCACTCCCTTTACCACCTGCAACACTGGCTTCCCTCCCCTCTCGCCTATCTAATCCCCTGGTCTGACCTTCAGGTTCTGGCTGTGCATCAGCCTCCTTCACCTTCGCTGTATGAAGAAATATTCAAAAATAACGGGTATAAATATAGCTTTATTCGTGTGGTGAAAGAGGAAGAATTTTATTCTCAACTCTTCATTTAACAAGTTAAGATCGCCCCCCATTCTCCAAAATGTTCGCGTACCGCAAACATTACCATTAGCATCAGTTTGACCTCCCTCCGCTTTGACATTTGAGTTGCCTTCTAGGTTGTTTGCTGTGCCTCCTTCGCTAGGTACGGAAGGTTGTTCACTTGTATGCTTTGTGTCAGCTTCTTTTCTCTTCGCTGTACGAAGAAATATTTAAAATTAAGGGATGTAAATACTTTACTCGCGCTGTGAAAAAGGAACACTTTTTGTTGTTATCTCTTGATATTAGGCGTGGTGAGAGTGCAGTACGTTCTACCTGTGGTAAAAATTGCCTCACTGCGTTCAACAAGACTAGTCCTTAACGTGTCGCCAAGATTCGGGGCTCTAATTTGACGCCTGGGACGAGCACGTGGTAATGCAGTATATTTGTTACTGAGGACTTTGCAACCTCGTATAGCACAAAACTATGCACTTTGTGTACAGACAGCCCCTCAACAAAGAGCGCCGATGTTGAAGGTTGCAAGCGGGTAAATACCCCCCTCAATAGGCTTGGCAAATCATGTTTCTCATCTGTGTTATTAGTGTTGTTCACCATGATTTGTGGAAAAAAGGAAGGGCAGATGCAGTGAGAAGGATTACGAACTTTCATTTCCCAAACAATTTGTCCAAAACACAGCCCTTACTTTGTATTTTTTCTTTCCTTTTGGGGGTTAACGATGGATGATAATTCCACAAACGACATCGTCTTTCTCTAAACTTAAATAAAAGTGAAATATGCTTTCCTGCATGTGTGTCTCAAAGATTTGGGGGAGTGTTTTTGCCTTGATAATATATAATAGACAGAAATTAAGTGAATGAATTTAACATCACTGCCTATAGTGGGTTTGTCTGTAGCCTGAAGGACCACTGTGTGCTCTGTAGCCTTGTGAAGGTACATATAGGCCTATATGTAGAAAACACTCACAAGGGGGAATAATACGCATCTAGTTGTCAAATTTACAGTTATGATAAAGACCACTGATTATCTAACCGGCATCTCTGTTGTTCATCAATGTATTTGACAAATTTAAGCCTTAGTATAATGGGCGTAAATCCCGGGGAGAGGGGGTATACATATCATGACCCCCCCTCCCCACTTTTCAACAGGGAGGGGATGGCTCCTGAATAATCCCCCCACTTTCCCGTAGTGAGAAAAAATAAGGCGGCGCCATTTTGATATAAGGTTCTGCAGCAGTGCAATACCTATAACACTATGTATCGCCCCAGTGTCATATGGTGTCAAAGCCCCGCCACCCTCCACGCTTTTTGAATTTCCACGGTCGAGCAAGTTCTCCCCCTACAACCCCCCATCCCCATTCCCCCATCTCCGGGCACAAATTTAAGTCACTGCTTCATAACTTCAGCAACGGATTATATTTTTATCAAATGGCTGAGATATATCTGAAAGCCAGAATAAAAGAGATTTTACCTGATTTTTTTTTCTTTCGTCCACCATGCCCTCCGCCCCTCAGCCCCACTACAAGGCGCATCTCCATGTTGGTGTCTTGTTGAATACAATGATCCTCCAGCGATAATGCGTCACAAAGCTGCATGATAATCAAGAATTATTGTTGAGTGTAAAATGCACCAATCTGGAAAGTTTGTTATATTACCAATTTAAGAGGAATGATCGAAAAAATCTATATTTGATCACATTTTAGATCTAATTTTAGCATGGGGTATGGGCATTAGATGTAAGAATTTTAAAATACTGCCGCAACTTATAGAGCAGTGTTTCATAGTTATGTTTGGAAAAAGGCTAAGGTTACGTAAAGGTGCATCGTATGAACTTCACACAGAGTGAACAAAAATAATTATCTGACAATAGTTTCACATTACCTCCATTTTTTTTCTAATGAAAAGATGTTGCTTCTCGGGTGCAACTCCAAGTCGATCCTGAAGCAAGTCCTTAACGGCCGAGATCGAAGTTGACGGATGCAGTTGTAGACAAATAGTTGATGCCAAAGGAGTCGAAATGAAGACCTGTACAAGCGTCTTTTTCTTGGTTTGATTGACGCTGGCAGCAAAACGTGGAATGTGAAAAAGAATGAAAGAAAAAAAAGACATTTCTCAGATAACTGTTAACCGGTAAACTGATGTAATCTCAGCTCATTCTACACATTTCTAAGCAAGAACTTTCTTCGATTCAGAAGTAAAATGCCGCTGTGATGAACGCAGTGGTACTTTTTCAGTCTGTTTGGCGGGATACCAGGGGGTTTCAAGGCCATTGCGACAACTACATTCGGTATGTTTCCTCCTGCAATGATTTTGTCTTTCGGTACCTTAGCAGTGCAAGCTAACAACACATTTTGATGTGAATCTTTCTACTTTCGATATAAACATGATATAAGCCGAACGTGCAGCGGGTAGTAACAAAAGTTTTCTTTTTTTCCGAATTAGCAAAACGTTTTAAAATCTTTGGATAGCACCAAACACTTAAGGTGTCTTCTAATAATTGAGGGAATTTTGTCATCATTTTTCCGCTGAGAGAATGCAGAATGCAAAATTGGTTACAAAGTGCGCGTAAATTTTCTACGAGTCACTCCGAATTGGAAATCATCAGATCTCGTTTGTGCAACATTTACACGCCAATCCTGTACTGACGTGGCTTGTTGGTTTTATTGAATTGGGTTTGGTGACACTGTTCGGCTTACCCAACGCACACTGGGTTTTCTCCACTTTTCTTTCCAACCATTTTTAAAACTGAAAAGTTGGAGAGCCCAAAGCTTTTAACCCAACTTAATCTTTCCCAAGGTAAAAACAAATTAGAATCTTGCAAACATAACCAGATCCTCGACCAGATACTACGTCAAACACGCCCCATCTACCTGCGTGAGCCATGCAGTATCCACTCACATTTCATCGGAAAAAAATATGATCCTAAATTGTTAGCCCAATCAAACCAGTTCATGTGAAACTGGGTATTTAACCTTTTTCGAGAAGCGTAAATGAAAACCTTGAGTGTTAGTGTTGAAGGCGATCATTTACTGTATCCGGCACAATAGGCCTATCCAGAGACGCTAGAGTTAAAGGAACATGAATACCCGGTGACTTGACTCCCTGATCGACACAGGTCTCAGAAAAAAATTTTAAAACTCTTCATACCTGATCATCAATGAGAACATTAAATAAAAGTCCTTGCACAACGTATTTGACATGGGACAAGGGATAACCGGTAGTTTTCAGGCAATGGTATGTGACATGCCGCCATGTACGTACATGTACGTGTTTGTATGTGCTGCACAGTTACCTGCTTTGAGATTTGTTTGTCTTGAGTTTCGTCTTCCCACGAGGAAACGGCGGACTTTTGATGTTCTCTCTCGCAATGCTGACAGACTTGGTCATTGAAAATGCAGACAAGAATGCAGCTTTCTTAGATTTCCGGACTGTCTTTCGTCTGGAAACCATCCTCGACTGCGAGTGGTCGTAGACAACCCGAGCAGCTTTCAAAGCATCCTCCAAATCTACGTACGACTGCAAAGCCATGTCAGAGGTGTCCTCTTCGTGTGAGTTAAGGTCTTATCTGCCCAGATATGGAAAATGAACCAAATGAAACGAATTAGGGGAGCTTGGACTTCTATATGGCTCAGTTCCGGCTTCGTGACTGAGATTATGCCAAGTTCAATGAGTTTACCGCTCTGAATATTTTCAGCACCGCCTATTATTATTTCAAAGAACAGTCCTAGATCATCGCATACAAAGTATGTATTCGGTCTATATAGGAGCGCAAATATCTCCCAAAATCATTTTTACACTACTTTGTGAAATTACAAAACTTAGACAGTCAGTGACCATAACATAAACTACTTTTAATTGCCTACACATTGGCATGCTGTGTCTGAGGGACGAAAGATTTACAAAGACTTAAACATTTTGCCATTCGCACAAAATATAACAACTGAATGACAAAAGGATACACGTACACGAAAATAATGTAGTCAAATGCACGGTGCACAACTTGTGCCTAACAACAAGAATGAGGCTGAAGTCCAATAAGGTGACCAACAAAAAATACATACAAAGTCACCTTTTTCAACATGTACACCTTTGTTGTCAGACTCAGCACTGAGATTTTCCTATTCAGAAGAAAATTTCTCTCATTTGATATTAAAACTTATGCACCATTCATCCTGCACTTTGGAAAGATAAAGAGCCTCGGCTACTACATGTAGTCCAATATTCCATTTTTGGTCGGGGAAAATAATAACAGGTTTGAAGAAAAATGGAAGGGTTGCGCAGAATGGTTTCTAAAAATTACATGTATGAAGATTTATTCTTTTTTGCACCTGTAAATGCCCCAGCACGAAGTGAATCGTTGCCGCGGTAACAGATATTTAATATGTAGCCTCCGTCTACAGAATACCCCAGGGGTCATCAAATTCATTACACAAAGGGTGTTCGTTCATATTTGTTAATTTTAGTGGTCATAAGCGGTGACCCAGTTACCGAGTGAACTAAATCGTTGTCTATAATAAAAGACCTTCCCCATCACTTCGCTATCTTTTTCAATATGCGTTTAACGACAGGTTTTATGCAGCCATAATCTTGCATTTCCGTCCATTCAAGGAAATGATTTTGGCGCCCAGGTGGTACAACTAGATTTGTGTTTCTGGAATTTTGGAGTGGTTAGCTTCGAGCTCCACAGCTCTTTGCCCCTTCAATGCGCTCCTCTGACCCTTTGCATTCCCCAAATTCGCGCCTTTGCCGACTTGGAAGTATGGTGTACTATTTACGACAAAAATTTACGTTTGTACACACACGACGCATCACGTAGTGCGTCGCGTCGTGCTGTCGCCCGTCGCGTCGTGCTGTCTCAGGTATTTCCATGTTGCAGTTTTTCCCGCCTAAACGTAGCCCGTCGCGTCGTACCGTCGTGTGTCGCGTCGTACCTCGTGTCGTGTATCGCGTCGCCTAAAGCACGACACGACGCACGACACGACGCACAACGCAACGCGTTGTGTGCTGTCGCCCTTTGCTTCATTGTGTTTATAGAGGGCGCCTTAACTGTTTTCTTTCATTTCCGTCCACCTTTCTTGCAAAGTACATGCGATTCGCTCTTTGGTGTTGATTTTTCATTTTTTTTAATCTCATAAATTCATTAATTTGGATTAATTTCAGTCATATTTTAACTGAAAAAAAAGATTAAAGAACAAAAGAAAATATGAATATGCAAGCTCAGAATTCGTCACTCCTTAATTTCCCAGCCAATGGTTTCTTTTGTTTTCTCTCATTTCCGTCCAACGCGCTTGCAGAATACATGCCCTGAGCTGCAGGCGTTGATATTTTTTTGGGGGGGGGTTGTTTCATCCGTTCATCAAATTGAATTAGTTTTTTCACATTGTATAGAAAAAAAAAATGAAAACGGGCAAAAAGAAAATCTGTGTAGGTAGGTGCTCTCACATAATAAGTGTAAGCCCAGAATTTGTCACTTTTTAATCTACCCGGCTGATACTTGTTCGAATGTCTGTCCAATTTCTTTTTAGGACCGTTGATGAAGTTCCCATGTGTGGTAGATTTGTAACCTTATAAATATTTCTCTGTGGTCTGTGCCAGCAGTTTTCCCTGTAGTTCTCCCACTCCTCCAGACAATTTGTCTACAATTGTACGACCGCAAGTTTGAACACGGGTTTAGTAGTTACCATCCAGCCTGCACTATATTATTACCCTCAGAATATTCAGTCTTCAGTCTTCCTTCAGTTTAGTCTTCCTCGTTAATTTCATCAGCACCACACTTTCAATGATATTAGTCCGCCGGCGTGTTTCTTAATAAAACACATCCTACATCCACATCCTACTACCATTGTGACGGTGTCTTTTCTTCCTCTCTGTTTGCCTTCGCGCTTAATTTCTCATCAGGTCAGCATGTTACTTTCTTTGCAAGCACGTAATAATGATTGATGTATTTTATCTTAGAATGGATTTACAATAAATATTAGATAAATCACAATCAGATCAGGAATAGCTAAAACATTGTTGTGGCTAACGTTAATGTTACATATTTCCTGCAGACAATGGTGATTAGTCGCGAAGCTGTTTCTGATTACGGGCCGGGGGAAGGAAATGAAAGAAAACAGTAAAGGCGCCCTCTATAACCACGATGAAGCAAAGGGCGACAGCACACGACGCGTCGCGTCGTGCGTCGTGTCATGCTTCGCGTCGTGCTTCAGGCGACACGATGCACGACACAACGCACGAAAGCATGACGCGACGGGTGACGGAAAGAGCGACGTTTAGGGAAAAAAAAATTCAACAAGGAAAGGACCCCAGACAGCACGACGCCATGGGCGACGGCACGACGCGACGCGTCGTATGTATACAAACGAAATGGCAAGAAGGCGACGGTTCGACCCGACGGCACGACGCAAGGGAGCCGTCGTGCCGTCGTGCCGTCGCATCGTCTGGTTGCGTCGCCTGGAGGGAGGCAAGATAGAGAGAGAAATGTTTGTCGTAAATACTACCCCATATGAAAGTGCTTGCCGCGCAGTACTGCAGCCCGCTTCCTGTTAAGTTCGACTTTTGACCCCTTTCGGTACTTCCCCGTGCGCCGCAATCAGGAAACCATTTGTTAACAACAGGCGTTGCTGTCTAAAAGGATCCGATTTCCTCTTTGGTACCGATATTTATAGCCAATTTCAACAAAGTTAACAATAATGATTCCTGGCTTGGGACCCCCCAGTTCTCCTTTGCAAATCAGGCTTTGGCAAAATCGGTTCCAAACACTTTAATGTGAACTAGTTTTAGTTCTCATTCATGCAGTGCCAGAGTAGCTAGCCAACATTCATCCCTCCGTCACACTTGGTCAACATTCATAATGCATACAATGCTCCATGACTTATATGTCACGACATCAAGGTCCATGTTCAACAGGCCTTTTCCAACATCGACAAGGAGGGTGAAGCCTTGCAATTGTGTCATGTTGACTGTAGTATTAAGGTCAAAATCATACAAGGTGGACCTACCTGGTTTTAGCAAATTGTCGTGTTATTATGTATAGCACACAGTGATCACCTGCAACACCGAATCCCGGTCCCCACACTCCTCGTACATGACCGTGACACTGATATTATTTGGTTGATACTTCGTTGGTAGGCCAACGATTTTATGTCGACTTTATTCTGAGATTGCATGTGTGTTTGTCTGATAACATTAACACATCGGCACACATACTCCCATGTTCGTCGACTCTCGCCACGGAGGGTGGAGGTAAATCTAGCGCTGGGTGGTTGCTAAGTGGAGAATGACGTACGTTCAAACCATGACATGATTGGTCAAAACCTGCCTAGTCTCATCACAAGCTCAGTGCATTACAGTCTATGGTGTACTATTTACGACACACATTTCTGCCTGTCTAGGCGACGCAACTACATGCACACGGTACGACGGCTCCCTTGCACCGTGTCGTCGTGTCGCGCCGTCACCTTCTTGCCATTACGTTTGTACAAACACGTCGTGCCGTCGCCCGTCAGGTCGCACCGTCGTGAGGTGCGTCGTGTCGTGTTTCGGGCGACGTGTATGAGCGACGCGATGCACGACACGACATACGACACGACGCACGACGGTGCACCGCGTCTGGAGAAGGAGGGAGCGACTTTTAAGCAGAAAAATTGAACAAGGAAAGGATGTAAGACAGCAAGACGTGACAGGAGACGATGAGACACGTCGTGTGTGTACAAAAGTAATGGCAAGAATGCAATAGCGCGACGCGACGGCACGACGCAAGGGAGCGTACGTCGTGCTGTCGCATGGTATAGTCGTGTCGCCTTGGAAGAGGCTAGAGAGAGGCAGAAGTGTGTGTCGTAAGTAGTACACCATAACAGTCATATCGCAGGTACATATAGCAACAGTCACAGCTTCATTATGCATAGTCATGTACAATAGCCCTCTGTACTGATGACGTTATTACCAAATGCATCGCTAACATCTAATGGAGTCATTGGGGTAAATTACGGACTTATAAACCCACAGACTGGGAGCTCCCATTCAAAACAACGGTAGGGTATCGTAGCCGAGACGGCAACCGACTAAACCCAAAAGCGTGAGCAAATTCACCTCTCGGTGTAGGGAATTTACGCACAGTTGAAAACTTACAGCCATAAAGTTCCACGAAGCTATTTTTTTTCGATTGCAAAAAACTTTTGTTTACTTTCTAGCATAAGCAAATTTTTTTAATAATGCGGTTGCAGCAATTGAATGGGTTGTCTAACAGTGAGGGGCCTAAAATAGGTGTACATGTCTACACTAAAGTATCGCATATCAGCGCAGATAACGTTTTTTGCAAAACACAAAGAAACAAAATGGACAAACAAAAACTTTATCACCTGACCCCTTCAATTCTGCCTAAAGTCAGCAGTCTGAGTCCCACATTCGGCCGTTGGAGGCGTGATCTTGGCCTCCAAACTCGGTTTTTCATAGATGATCAAGTTCACAATAACTTGCCGCCGCGTGCGGGTTGCTACGCGCAAGGCTACAACGTCTTGAAGACTGCACTATACATCGCTACCTATCACCACCGTGACTTTACAAGGCAAAGTGATGAATTTCATCGCTCGTTCGCACGTACTATTAGCTCGCTACATCTACGGTGAAACATGTAGGTCCCGAGTTTCAAGTAGGCTTCCCTGGATGTTTCCTTGAAATGTGCATCTAGTTTGTCAGTATTCAAACACAAATATAAAAGTAAATTAATAATTAACTATTTAATTAAAGTACTGATTAATTTCTTCCTGAGGGGATTGCAGCGGGCAAAGGATACACAGTCATGTACATGTGCTGTACTTTGTGTTATTTGCAAAGTGTCAGTGTGTTGTTGTCTTTGTGGAACTTTGTTTATTCGTAACTGGGACCCCCGCTTGACAAGAACTGCTTCTTGGGGGCCCCCATATACATATATACAGGCTTTGTGAAACTGTTTCTGTAGAATAATATTATGTGGAAAACAAAGCGAACTGAACTGAACTCTCCCTCGGCAATGGGAATGTGTGAAGAAACTGTTGACAAATCCAAACTGCCCGCGCCCCGTATAGACATGCGCACATAGTGGACAACTGCTCCACATCTGTATACCCCACTCATCTCTGTACTCTGCGAATTGAAGCGACTGCGCGGCCATCTTAGGCTATTCAATACACGGCAATTTTCAAAGTCACCGGCTTCAGCACCGTGCATGAATACACTTTAGGGAATGGACTGAAGTTGGAGGTCATTGTATTGAATATCCTAAGATTCACACATACGTAGTTACTGCTGAGCTGCCTATCCAGTGTATAGAGATCAGTGGTATGCCCGTAGTCGTACTACTACGTATGCTAGGTAGTCGCTGGGACGGGGACCAGATAGATGGTTTGCAGCGTGGGCGCAGTTCAAGTGAGATAATGAGATCACATTACATTGTACTGTACTCAGTGTACATCATCATAGAGCTGTTATACATAGCTCCACACATTACGTTTACGTTCAATGAATGTATAACATGATGGTATTCAACTCTTATGACACACTTTGAACATCATTGGCATAACGTTGACTAAAACTTGGGTTTGTAAATTGCAACCTTTATTCTAGGCCTTGTCAACATTTAATTGTGACAAAATAAAGAATTACAACATTCGAAACCTAACATTGGTTAATCATTGAATTAAGGTTGTTACTAGGGCCTATTGCAATTCAGAATCAACAAATATTCAACTCCAGATGACTGTTTCTAACTCCATCCATACACCGATCAATTTCAACGTTATTTCGACAATAAATCAACAATGGGTTATTATGGACACCATACAATGTTTGCGACCTGACGTTGGATCGTGACAAATATTGACAAATATTAAATGCCGGCATACTGTCTAACTCCGTACATCGAATCAAGGTCAACGGCCTAATGTTAGTTAAGCGTTAAATTCGGCCTTCTTAAAATTGCGACAATACTTCAACAATTACTCAACATTGGGCAACTGTAGTTGAAACAACGTTTGCGACCTTACGTTGGCAAAACATTAAAATTAGGTTGTTAATATCGCGACATAATTTCAACACACATTCAAAATTGCGACAGTATTTCAGCAATTAATCAACATTGGGTAGCCTACTAATCGAAATATAGAAGTTGAAACAACGTTTGGGATTTGACGTTAGCCAAACATTAAATTCGGGTTTCAACATCGCGACACATTTTCAACAATAAATCAACCCTGAATAAATGTCGGTATCTGTACGTCGATACAGCGTTGGCCAACCAACGTTGGATAAATGTTGATTTTCAGGTCGCTAAAATTGCGACAGATTTAATTAACCGTGCTTTCAATGTTTAATCGGGTGCGTTGACTTCCCAAATCAATATTAAAGAGCGATTTCAATTTTGGCGTTTTCGTGTTTCACACTTTCT